TGAATTTAAAGAGCAGTGAATGCATGCTCTATTAAATCTAGTGTTAAATGCAACATAAACAGCATTTTCTTAAGGGATATTATGATATTGTCACCACGTATAATGATTTGGTCATCAAAGCTGTTTAATTACCTTAAGTCTATGCATCAATTAAATAGCAGAAACTTACCTATGGTCTTCCTTTTGTCTAGTCCTTTCCCAACACAATGCAAAGCCGCGGTGACCACGGTGGGCTCAGAGAAACCCAGCACCTTCTTCACCGTGCGCTCCACCCATGGCCTCAACTCCTCCACCTCCCGCTTTGGAAGTGACATCTCCAGATCCTGCAGAGCAACACAACATTTAACATCATCATTCATTAACCACATTCTCGTCAACTTGTCTCCGCGAACTCTGATGCCCCGTTCTAACTTATCACGTGATGTAACGTTAACAGTCCCAACTCAAGCTACACAAGCACAAACCTCAGCTCTCACTCACTCGTACACTACCGCTGCACAAACACAAACGGTCACCACTTATTTACTCATAAATATATACACACCGTCAGTCCTATACTAGCTGTTGTTTGCAAGTTCGTAGCTGTACTGTTAGAACAGCTGACACATATGCTAACCAGGAGCAATGTACAAGATGAAACAAAGTACATCCGGCAAAACTCTCAGGTTCCCTGCTAACTATCCTTAGCACACTGCTCTCTTCGAGCTACCAACAAAAGCGAACAACCGCATAATGAGACTCACAAACCTCTCTATTCTGTCTTGATCCTTACACCACTTATGCCGTAAAAGTCAGACAAGCTAAATGATCAGGTTTAAGAAGTAAACGAAAAAGAACGTAAAAGAAAAAACGTCAAACTGCTAAGTTTTCTATAAAAACTTTCTATCTGGTCGCGCCGTTCACACAACGTTTCAGAGACGAGACCCGGAACAGGAAATGGAGGGTGGCTCTCTTTCTTCTTCGTGACCAAAATCGGGCACTCGTTTTAGTTAAATGTACGTTATTTTCATCTAGCGGCTTTAGAAGGAACAGCCCCGAATGTCATTCAAGTCTCTTTCTTAGAGGTGTTGTGATGAAAGGCGTAACAAGCTGTGGTGAAAGTTATGGCTTTAGAAAAGTCAGCCAACCTGTAAAAGTTATTTTTAACCAAAAAAAATTTATAAGTTATACAATAATATAATAAACAGTGGCCTTAATTTGCATTATGAAGGAACTTGTTAAAACGGAAGGTGTTCTTCTTTTAACCCACATAAAATATGACCCCAAAAGTGGCAGTGATGTGTTTTATGTTTACAAGAAACAAATATTAGCTAATTTGCCTAACTATTAACATAGGCGTAAGACATTTATGCATTTTATTGCACTTTAACGTTAGTGGTGGAGAGTATAGTATAGCTATGCTAATACCACAATGTAAAAATACACCATGACAAGGAAAAATACTCCATGTAATATTCTACTTAAGTGCATAAGTATTATCAGCAAAATGTAGACTCCTGAAAGTAGTGTCAAAAATAAAAGTAGGCTACTTATTCACCAGTAAAATGTTCCCTCTTGTCTGAAAGCTTTATAGTTGTAGTTGTACATTGTAAAACTACTGAGACTAGAATGAAATGCTGCCTAACTAACCACAGATTAGTCATGAACTCAGTTCCCCTGGTAAAAGCCAGGGATTATCAAGTGATATCCTTCCACTGTAGGCCCACCCCTTCCTTTTTTCCCTAACTTTGCATGATGTGGGTCAGCTGAGTGCATTTGTAGGCCTATTACTGTGAGCATGAATGTAATACTGAGCCTGAGGCTACACCAGACTGCCAGATCACCCTCCTCCCTCCACAACAGTCCGCATCCACACTTTCATCCAGTGTGTAACCATTGGGATACACTGTATATACACTGCATATTATAGTGTCCCAGACATGCTCTTTTTCTACAGTTAAAACAGTCATTATCATGTCAGCCATGCCTTATTAAATTCACACTCCCCCCCGTCATCAACCCCTTCATAAGCTGATTCACCAAAGAAGAAATTTACTTTCTGGCTTTCACTGACCTCTCTCGGACCTACATATCTAGTCTGTTTACATCCAAGTTTACATGCACACTACAGCCCAATTTACCAAAAGAACCATATAGCGCCTTTACACAGTACCCCAGCTTCCCAACACTGGGAAAGCTACTTTACATATTACTTTACACATTTCTTTCTTTCTTTTCGTCTACAATAATGTTAGAAATTATGGGGAAAAAATACACTCGTTGCAGCTTCTCAAAGATGAATATTTTCAGCAGACTGAACATTTTGTTCTTTTGGACAGTTGGTCTGACAAAATAAGACACCTTCAAAAATTACCATGCAACGTGGGACATTTTATGGCCATTTCTTGCTGTTTGGTGACATTCTATAAACAAGACAATGCATCAGTCAAAAAAATTACTGGAAAATTTAGTTATTTTATTAATAATGAAAATATTGTTAGTTGCAGCCCTAGTGATATCTTCAGATAAATTTTGTCATTTTACCAGCCATCCAAAATCCCCAAAATATTCCATTCCATATTCCATATAGAATACAGAAATCTAGCAAATCCTCACATTTTATTAGTCAGTTCAGACACACATAATACCATTATTTTCATAAATTTGTCTTCAGATGTGTAAATCTCTTTCCTGTTTCAACATTAAATTTTGATAAAACAAGTTGATTAAATATTTGCATGACATTTACAAGAGCACTACCTTAATCTGGCTGTAGGCAAATGATCAGGCCAGTAAACAACACACAGTCACTCACAGTGGCCCACCCACACCCCCACCATGTGTGATCAACCTGAATTCCAGGTTGGCACCTCACATGTGCTGTCTGCCGCTCCCACCCCCACCAGCCAGTTCTGTTATGTAATGACACCTCACAGTATGACAATGCCACAGATACTTCTATAAAACTAGATGCACCCAGGCTCTTACCCATACAGAATGACTTCTACTTCCTTTTTGCAGCCAAAACAAGTGTAATACAGCATCATGGGGGCAGGCGGTGAGAGCTGTATGAATTTGTGTACTGTAATGTCAAGCATCTAATCTGCAATTAGTCCAGTACTGGCAAAGAACTAATTACTAAGTCTTTGGTTCCTTTCATTGATGTCAGCTGAGTGTTTGAATGTGCATTATTGGTATAAATATTATATAGAGGCATAATATATGACTTAAAGAACTCCTGGTATTTTGTCAGACAGCTTTTTGATTCATCAAGTGTGTGGTTAGAGTATCATCATGCTGACCCAGTTTTATTTCACTGTATCTGACTAGAGCTGTAAATCATAGTGGAAGATACAATCTCTGGAGACTCTGCTGTCTTTACTTCACACATGGGCCGTGAGGACCTTGTTTTAACTGTGTGCGTGTGCACATCCTAAATCACAAGTCGTTGTTTTTATCACTCATAAGCCTTTGTTTGCCAACCTGCCCTCCTTTATACACCTTCCTTTTTTCTGTCCTTAGTTTATTCTACTGTATGTGGTGATTCCCTTTCACTCACTGAATGTGAATAATTGAGCACCTGAGGAAGATACGTCATCACGAGCGGGCTCCCAACCAAGAACACATTCAGGCCAGAGAAACTGATGGAGATGTTATTTGCCTATAGCCTTGCCGTGCCCCAAATATCACACACAATGTCATGAGATACATGTGCGTCCTTGAACATCCTGATATCTCTGTCTTTACTGTTGGTGGCAACATAGCGATGGGGACCACAGATGACTTTAACCCCACACAACAAGGCCCTTCATTGCTGTGTGTGTCAGAAAAGCAGAAATGACTTAGAAGAAGCTGTGATTTCCTTGACAGGGCTGGTCACTGTGCAGTTTTAATGAGCATTGAGGCAGTTTTGGGACTCGTCTGCACTAAAACCTCCCGAGACTTTGGGTGAGTAAGAGCATGTGTGTGACTGTGCCCCTACCATGTTTTTACATTTGTATGAACACGCGAGTGTGTAGTTGTGAAATCACAGTATGGCTTCACCTCACATGAGTTTTACTGGAGTGCAGTGAGTGAAGTATGGGGGAGGGGGATTTGTAGAATAAGTAAATAAGCACCTCATTGTACCATTCCCCTCATTATGCACACAAGTGCCTTCAGCAGAACTGGACAGACACCCTCAAATCATTTGCTTGTTGGGAGCAATAATGGCATGTGGACCCACAACTAAAACTGACACAAGAGATAAGAGGAGCACCAAGTTTGTTACGTGCAATCCTACTGATGCACATACACACGTTTGTTGGATAATCAGAGAAGTGAGAGCAGAGTGCGGTAGTGATGCAATGACAGTGAAGGTTGCTGCAATGTAGACCTTTATAAAATTATTTTAAATTGCCTTAATGTAGAACTTTTTCAAAACAAAATTGTAGAAGAAAAAGTGAAAAACAAACACAAGACAAATGGGTACAGCAAATAAAATTATATTTACAAATATATGGAAAGAACAAATGTTCTCTATGCTCCCCACAATTGAATGAGGTCTCCTCCATGTGCCCTCCAAACAACCTCTTCCTTTTCCGCTTGCCCCTTCAGTGGAGATAGAAGAGAGAAATGGTGGGGTTGGCGACGGAGAGCAAGGGCTTCACTGCTAAAAACTGCATGGATACAAGGGGGGGCCGCAAGGGAGGAGGAGGGAGGGATAAAGGGAGGGCAGTCTCTGTTGTAGCGTAGCACAGTCAGTGTGTCAGAGACAGGCCCATCACAGAATCAGCCAGTCAGTGTGTCAGAGCGTGTTGCGTGAAGTGGGGCATGCTTGTGCTTCTGTGGTTATGACTCCGGGTGTTAGTGTGTATGCGTGCAGCTGGCTGTTTACATCCTGTCTGAGCAGAAAGAAATCAAACCACACCCTCTTAAAATTGACCACTCCAGCATGTGCATACAGCATCAATAGATGCTGGAGGGGAGAGAAAACAATGAATATCTGAACACGTTTAATTTAGGAATTTTAGTCAATTGACTGGAAATCTGAAATAGTTTTGTTGGTTGTCTATAATTTATCTTGCATTATATTTTTCTTGAACCCAGAGCTGCAAACAGTCAATTAATCAAGTGAAATTTACAGAAATTTAATCTGCTACTTCAGTAAGTAAATACTTGATAATAAGTCTTTTTATGGCAAACATTCTCAGGTTCCAGCATCTTCAGCATCAGGATTTGCAGTTTTATACAACTGGAAGCTAAATATCTTTTTAGACTGTTAGCCAGACAAAACAAGACATTAGAACACATCTGTGAAGGGCATCACAATTTTGTCCCCAACATTTTACAGGCTGATTCATCAAGATATAAAAAATTCTAGCTTCAAAAACAAGAGGGGACTTTTACAGAGGACATTTTGGAGCGTGATCAGTGAAGTTAACCTGACTTTCCATGGCTGCAGAGATCAGACTGAAGCAGCCCTGACTTTTCTAAAATCAAGCAAGCAACACAGACACAGCCACACCGGGCTCTTCTTGACTACCTGTCAGAGGTTTATTTACACATCATGGCTTTACGAAATAAACATCCAACCCATAGGAACATGCGTGTTAGCTACAGCAGTGTTTGCGTTCTGTAGTAGCAGCTGGTTGGAGAATCAACCAGCACCTCCCCTCCACCACTGCCAGTCAGATTACCAAGGCTCTAGTCTCACACCTTTTTCCCCCCCTCCTTCTCACTATCCTCTCCTTCATGCCTTCATCACCCCTCACTGTTCCACTAACCCACAGACTTCAAAATGTCGTCTTTAAATCTGCACCCCACTGAGCCACACATCTGTTTAGTGAGAGCCGCCTTTCCAAAACATGAGTCTTACTCACAGAATCGCATCACCTGAAAACATAAAGTGAAAAAGTGTCTGCGCAAACCCAAAGACTCACCAATTGAACACAGGCAGACGGTTTAGCTCTCAAATGTGTCATTTATTTAGAAAAAAAAAACTTTCCTTTTCATCATTATTGATAAAGTAGCAATACGAGTAATATCATGTAAAGATCAGGTGAGAGAAGGATAAGAAAGAAAAGATACTAACAGGAGCAAAGGAGATGTGGGAGAAAGGGCAAGGGCAGGCAAATGCAGCAGAGTGGGGGAGGGGGAGCTACAGTGAGCTTTTACAATGTAAGAAGACAGTTAAAAAAGAGAGAGAGAGATTATTACTGACCAATCAGCAGTGGTCATTTCAGTTAGAAAACATACATGAAAAAATTACATTAACAATGAAAAATAAATGGAGCCAGTTTCTCTGCCGTACCACAACTGTACAAAAACAGGAGTGGAGCTGGAAGACACCCCCACCCTCTGATCCAGAGCCAGCATCCAACACATTGTTCTGTCACATTCAAAGACGGGCTCAGACAGGACAGTCCAACTCTGGGTTCATGACACCACTTACTCCAAAAACCCAGGCAGCATCGTGGAGGCTGCTGGTGGCTTTGCTTTCACTGTGGTGCTTTTTTCTGGAGGAGTCTGGCGCATGGATATACTCCCATCTAGTTATGGAAATAGATCATGAACCACTGAACCAATTTAAAAACATTTTAGTCTAAAGATTTACAACATTTTTTTAATACAAGTAAATCATGTTATTACTAAAGCCCTCCTACATTTGTAAGAATATTGTGAGCAGATTTCCAAATGAAGACAGAGCCATCTATCAAACATCTAAAGTAGAACTGGAATTTGAATAAGAATAGCAGCAGTAGAGGGTGGTGCAAATAAAGATTTCCTCCCTGTCACTGCTTTTTTCAAGTTTTCAAGAGCACCGGCTATAAGTGCGGCTCAGCATGTTCCTGTTCATCCGAACCTAAAGAAAAGCCCCAGAGAAAGGCTACACTTTGATACTACACAAAAACCAGTAGCCACTGCTGTAGAAGGTGGAGATGTAGGCAGTTTGGATTGACTGCAGATGTCACAATACTAGAGCTGGACACTGGTTTTTAAACAGTGGACAGCTGATGATACTGTTGGTTTTAATGCCGTGCACAAGCAGGTGTTCAGACCAAGTCCGGTAAAATGCAACTCCCTGCTGTGTTGGTCAGGGAGTGAGGGGTTGCAGGGGGAGTGTTGTCGCTATGTATGATATTTTGTGATGAGTTTAAGTGAGTGGCTTCATTCGTGTTTCCAACCCACAGGTTTCAATATGTTTTGGTTAGCTATGCTGCTAAACAAAGCTAGGGAAGAGGTTTAGGGCCACTGTACAAAATTAATTTGAGTTCTGACTTTAAACTCAGATTTCTGACTGAGGAAAAAAAGTCAGAATTCTCAGATTAAAGTCAGAACTCAGTTTCGTACAGTGGCCCTAAACCTCTTGTGTACATAGCCTACTCTACTTAGCATCAATTTCTACCACCAGTGTGTCGACACAGATAGATTAACATCCAGCACCCTAACTAGTGGAAACGCATGGTGTGTCGTTGTGGTGTGTTAACTGTGGCCCAAATTCGAGAGTGAATAGCAGTGAATGCTCATGCTAACAAGGTAAACACAAGTCTTCTTCCTGTGGGCATCCATATTTTGATTGTTCCCCTTACATGATTGGTCAATACAGTGCCTTTGTCAGATGATGTAACTGTCCGGCGCAGCAAAAGTCGAACCAGATCCAACTTTTTTCCACAAGGGCTTTGGCATTTTGCCAGAGCCCCATGCGGTGCCGGTGCCAACGGCGGTGAACACAATCCCTCTTAGAAAGGAATGGAAAGCACTGCATTTTTTCACACCTTTGAAATGAAGTCTGAACGCCCGCTATCTTCCAATGAAAACATGTCAGCTTTCCTGACTGAATGTGTATCGGTTTTGTGAAACACAAGCCAACAATCAAAATGCAATATAAATGCACTGAAAAGACTTTTTTCTGAACATATCCTATTTGGTAAAAAGGCACATTAGTCCAATCAGATTATTTCAATCCCTTCAGCTTTTTTCCCCTTATGATAGCAATAAAACCCACAATCTGTCAACAGCATCTTCTCCAAACTCCTAAAAAAAAAAAAGAAAAAAAAACCCCACAACAACTGCAGGCCAAGCTATGCAAGTGCACAGCAGGCGATATTCAGCTACCCAAACAATAAATATAAACAATAAATAAATGCAGTGTCAGATCAACACATGAATAAATTAACTGCAAGACTTGAGTCTTTTTAGTGGTCCTTCCTCAGTCTGGTCTTTAAAAAAAAGCTTCTTGGATGTTCATGCCACTGATTGCCGGTCTGACAGCCAAGCGCCCAAACAGCTTCTGGATTACATTTGAGAGCTGATGACATCATTTTCCAATGACTCCAACACACCACACGTAAAGTTTAATGCTGCGCTCTGTACACTGGGTTTCTCATACCACTAGCTACAAGATTTTCAAATGACTTCAATGTCTCCTTTCCTCTGCAAGCCAGTTACCTTAGTTCTATATACAAGTGAATGCAAAATCAAACACATCTCCTGCCATTAGTCTTGAATCAGCTTCAGCTCACCCTCACTCTGGACTTAATCTAACTCGAGTTCTCTCATGAAATTAAACCTCAGAAGCTTTCATTACGAAAACTGACACCTGCTTTCCTTTTTTCTGATCAATGTCATTCAAGTCAGATGTTTGCTGAAACAGTCAGCTCTGTATACAGTACATTGATTGCTTTCATCCTGAGGAGGAACTATCATTTGCTCCTCAAACTTCTTTGAAATCACTCCCTATTCGACATCACTCAATTACCTGTAAATGACCTTTAAGGTTTAGGTGTTCTTTCCTATGTTCCTCTACCACAATCACATTTATACTAATATGTAATTATCAACTAAGATAGATTAGATCGAAAAGCATTACATCCTGTAATAACCATTGTGGTATGGATGAGGGGTTCTGTGTCATCCATCGTTTGTCTTCAACATCTAAGCGCAGACAGTTCTTTCCTCCCTCTCCTCTCTTTAATGCATCTGTAACCACAGACTTTCAGCCTCAAGTTTTCTTCCTCTCACGGCAGCTTTTAGTTCATTGGTGTAACAAAGTGAGGCCGCCAGCTCTTTGTGCTTGACAACGCATCAGGTCTCTAAGGGGGCGGGGCACACCCTGGGCAAAGGCTTAAGTGTGACATGAGGAGATTGGCTTTGACCCTGACCACTCTCACTCTGTTGTCCAGCAACAAGCTGGCTTTGGCACCGGACTGGCTTCTTCAGATTTTTGGGGTGTTTGCTGGGCGTAGTAGAAGAGACGGAGCTGTCCTGTGTAGCTGGGCTGTCCCTTCCGCTGGGTGGGAGGACATCAGGCTGGTTTTCATTGCTACCTGTGACTGTTGTGCCTTCATGTGCGGGGCAGGCCTTTCGTGGGGACACGATGGGGGCAACGTGCACCCAAGTCAGGCTCGGCTCAGAGCTATGACGTGCTTTGTATTTTGACAGCCTGCCTAGTTCATCACTGCTGCTGTCCTTTCTGTTTATGTACTCATTCAGCTGGCCGTTACAAGCCACATTTGGTGAATTTTGGTCTGCATCACACAACAGTGATGGGGGAGGAGGAGGGCCGTCCTTTTCATCTTGATTCAACCTCTTCTCTTCTGCACTGATATGAGGGCACTTGAGAAGCACAGGTGAAGGCGAGGGAGAGTCTGTACCTGTCCAGCTAAGTCTGCGCTTCTGAAAAATGAACAGCACAGTAATTTGCGAGTAAATACAAATCTCAATTTGTGGTGGTGGTTTTGTCTGTGTGTGCACGAGGAGGCCCTTGCACACACGGGAATGCATGTGTTCTCACCTTGACAGGAATATGTAACTGATCCCTGTGTTTGTGTGGTGGGGTGGAACCAGAAGTGTCTTGGAGGGAATTGGCAGGGGATGTGGTGGTGCTCGAGGCTGAAGAGACAGGCTGAGTGGTGATCTGTGGAAACCAAAGCTTCAGCATCATCTCTATCTGGAGTAGGGTGTTCAGGTACTTTTCCCTAAAAACAGAGAAAGTGAAAAAGAAGATACAAATGTCAAGGGAGGAACAGATGGTGAAGAGATTGTGTTACTGCATAGGAAAACATCTTGGTCTTTATGGACCTATGTATAGAGCTAGATAAAATGTCTTCTCAAGTTTAGTATTTATTCTGCAATGCCAATGAATGGAATAACCAACCCCCAAGGACTAGAGATGTAACAATACCAAAAAGTCATGGTACAATACTGCCATGATATTTATCACGATATTTAAAAAATGAAAAAAAAATGCCCCTTACTAAATAACAAATCAGTGTTTTCTGTATAACATATAGTATATATAAAAGATAATGCAGCAGTCAGTAGCAGTTCTTATAGGAAATAGAATAATATATTATTGTAGTGGCTGGATCTTGTAAACAAAACGAGTCATACCCACAGTGGATCATCAGTGTTTTCGTACCCTCTGGCAGGTTTAACTTCCTTTAGTTTTGTGGTAATGCCGACTAGTATCCCTATAACCACCAGGGGCAGTATTGAGCAAATTGCTGCTTGGCGATTCAAAGCAAGGAGAAGAAGATGCTAAAATACACTAAGACAAGCCACATAAAGTTGAGATTTGGCTTTACTGGAGGCGTTTCTCACACATCGTGGTGTAATTTTTCAGAGAACTACTTAAGGCTGGTTGATAATGGTTGGTTTTGCAATTGCTCATCCAGTTTGTTTGCTCATCTTTAAATGGGGATAGCATTGCCTTTGTTCTGCAGTATTTGCAAGTCATTATGAGTTAGCCAATTTCCTTTCCGCTTGTGAAATGGGCAAACTGAAATGTGCCATACAACAACTCTAAAAGTCGACTATGGAGCGTTCACTATGCCAGGTTTAAATCCTGTGACATGATCGCTGTTATTCCAGCAAAATAACCATATGTAATATCCTGATAGATACCATCACAATCCTGTGATGGTATTGAGACATTTTTCTATCGCAATATCACAAAATTACAATTATTGTTACATCCCTACCAAGCACTGTTCAATAGAGCACAGAATAGGAGATCAGGCTTAAAATGGAAGATCACCTTAATTGTTGTAACTACAATTTAATAATCATTTACACTCTGAAGCCAAGATGTAGCGTGTAGTAATGCTGGGACACGATGGCAGATAACACAAACAATGAGGGTGGATGGTGGGGCAATGCAGATGCATCTTACCCACTGCTGGGTCTCCGTAAAACTCCCACAATCCTCTGGATTCGATCCATGGCAACGCTCTGTTGGAAACTACTCAAACCTGTCAATCAAAAGCAGAATCAGTCAGCATTTACACACCATGGTCACAGAAGTGTCTCTCTCTCTAACCTACGCACACACCACTTCCAGTTGTAATATTGGTAAACTCTGGTGAACTAATGAATCAGCCACAAGACTATTCCTTCACACACACACACACACACACACACACTGCACTTTGGACTACATCAGTGGGCTGCATCAATACTGAATGCTGCACAAAGGGAGAACACTGGACTGCAAAAGACTGAAGCCTCTCAGATCATATAAACCTGTGTTCAGCACCTACACGTTTAACTGCCAGCCTGCACACATGCTTGTCTGGGGGCAGTGATGCAAGGATGCTTACTGCGGTCAAATCGGCCCCTCTTCAGTCCATTCAGCAACTCCAGGAGGGGCCTCACAAAACCCTGTAGCTCAGCACACTGACAGAGGAAGTGGAAGAGAAGACAGATTACTACTCAGTTGGGTCAGGGCCTCGGCTGAATCAGTCTGCTGGGCTTTCCTCTGCACACACATTTCTCTGTCATCTCTCTTCTCATCACTTTCTTTATCATATCACTTACCTTCTGAGCAAACAGCAGGTCTCCCTGTGATTTGGTAATCTGGCCCGTAGGATGCGTCTCTTCCAAGTTGATGTGAGCTGCCTTGCCGCCGCTCTCTGACCTGCATGACTCCTCTTCTATATCTTTATTTGTGAAGCCACTGCACGTCCACTGGGACCCTGGGCTTTCCGATCTCCTGTTTCTGTCAGCAGCAGCCCCGCCCGTCCTACTAATGTTGACAGAGGAAGAGCTATCTATCAGGAAGACATCGGTGTCATCCTCTGCCTGCTCCGAGTCGCTTAACAAGAGGCTGTCGCTGGAGCTCAGGGAGTCAAAAGATGGCTGAGAGGATGTGCTGCCCTGGGACTGCATTGCTGTTGGAGCAATAGCAGAGGGTTAGGTGTTAGTATGGCAGTCAGTTCAGCTTAGAAAGTATATCTAGCTTGGCTGAACACTTAAATCCAACATGTTTTAAATTTGAATGAGCCAGGCAAATGAAGAGAGACAAAAAGTGAAAGGCACAGATAAAAAAAACACTGCTTTCCAGTTGGCAAAACTCAAGTTTTTCCTAACTCACTACCAATAATGATAATTACTCAAAATGGTGGTATACCATTGCCCTAGTTTATCATGATGTAGAGCGAGTGGGGGGAGGCAGTAGGCACACAATGGCAGTACATGTCTGGGCTCCCATTGAAGAGATTGGAGACCGGAGAGAAGAGTAAAATGTGAGGGGGATGGGAGATTGTGGAGTAGTGAAATCAGGATAGGCAGCCTCTCTCTCTCTCTCTCCACTGCCTCTGGTGCTCCCCCCCCCTTGTCTTAAGCTGGATGGCACATACACACACTCACGCAATCCTCTCTGGCTGCATTTCTGTATGCGTCTCATCATCTGCTCCCCCTTCAGATCATCCTGTTCGTTATGCACACAAGCCTGGTACCCCTCTTCCTTTCCTCTTTCACAAACCTGCCCTCCTCCTCGTACTCACATTTTTTTTTAATATTGCGTGTCTGGCTGTGTCTCTTTCTTTCACCCTCTGTGTAATCTGGAGTGCCTGCTGGTCTCTGATCCCACCAACACAGACAGAGGAAATTAAAGAATACACTTAACTGGTACACACCAACACAGCTTTTATCAATATGACAAATACAAGTCTAAACTCACTCACACACAAACAGTCTGTATACCCACACCAAAATAACACCACACTGGCTGAATCCACACAGTGTCCAAGAGTGTTACTGGAACACAGAAACGCTTCTTCAAGCCTTTTACAACAGACAAAATGTTTTGCCATTCACATTTTATTTGTGCCTCGTTGGATTCCCTTCCGGTGGGTTGTTTCCTTTTTAAACCTAATGTCACTCTGTTCACATGCAGCAGCATGTGTCAACTGAAATAAATGGTGCAGGAACAAAATAATTACATTTGGTCTTGAGTCTCACGCCCTTTGGATCATAGCCCGTGATGAATGGGACAGGGGTGAGTCCGCACAGGTAGGCCACGTCTCAGGTGTTGGGTGCCCGTGTGTGTCTGCACACCACGATGCCCACAACAGAAACACACTGCACATTTTATACAAACTGTTCGGTACATTTTTAACCAAGCTAACATCATTTAAAACGACAGAAACCTTTTTTTTTTTTTTTTAATAAACCAAATGTACACGATGAATCGCAAACGACTGCATGTTAATGGTTTGTTTATTAAAAACATCTGGCACAAAGCTACATAAGAAAAACAGCTTTTGACTATAGCCTTCCAACAAATTGTGCCGGGGGCACATACAGGATACAGCGGGACAGGAAATTCCTTCGGGCTAGCCTACCAACTTCAGGAAACGATAGCCACAAAATAAACCACATTAAAGGGTCCACTCACCTTAATGGATGTGAGATAAACCAGCAGCTTCCAGAAACAATCGTTAACGGCTCTGTCTACTCTGATATGACAAACAAGTCACACTCCGGAGCTGGAGCAACATCGGGGTGCCCAGCCTCAGCTCTCTTCCACACGCACTGCCCGGCCGTTTATCCGTTTGTGTCTTTGCTAGCTCTTTCTCTCAGCAGTTTACGAGCGTCAACATGTGCGCGGATCCACGTGCCCACGTTTTGAGCGCATTGTATTGGCTGTCAGCCGGGCGGCGGCGCACGCCACTGGCTGAGCCTTACAGGCAAAGGCCGGGCTTGCTGACCGGCCCGGGCGCTCAAAGACTTGCCCCACTCATGTATCGCTCGTGTGTACAGTGTAGGGCAGGGACGGTGTGCTACAGCCAGTGACTGTAAACACACACGAGCTACGGCGCTGGCCCGAGAGATGCTCAATATGAGGCGCACAGTATTTATGACCCCTCCCCCTCACACCCAAAACATAAAAATCACACGCACGCTAAGAACTGAGAAATAGGAAACATTATGCAACACAGATCGGATTTAATTGAAAATGTATGCAGAACTAAGAGCAGCGCCAAAGCATAGATGACTTTTCCTCCTCACTGGGCAGGATAAGGGACCCCTGAGAGGTAAAATCCGTTAATGCACAATAAACCAAATCCCTCTTGTACTATTCACATTGACTGATATAACAGACTTGACAGTCACCTACAAACAGATGACATATTCAAGGAAAAACAAACATAAAGTGTCTTAGTAAGATGTTGGGCCACCACATGCCACCTTCAATGAACCTTGGCATTGATTCTAAAAGTCTCTGAACTCTACTGGAGCAATGACACCATTCTTCCAAAAGATATTCCCTCACTTGATGTTTTGATGATGGCGGCGGAGACCATCTAACATCAATCTAAAATCTCCCATAGGTGTTCAGCTGGGCTGAGATCTGGTGACTGTGAAGGCCACAACTAATGATTCACCTCATTTTAATACTCATCAAACCGTGCAGTGACCCTTCGTGTGCTATTGATGGGGGTACTGTCATCTTGGAAGGAACCACTCATAGTCTCATTGTCTGTAATGTTTGATAGCTGTGGCCACACCTTGCCACACAGACCATGAAACTGACCATGAAATGGAAAGTTAAGTATATTGTCCAGACAGCATCATGGTCTTGATTCAGTGACGAGATTCAACTTTTACAATCAAGTAATACTGGTACATATATACACCCTTTTGCTCTCTCCTGCTTTCCTCAGTCTTTGAAACGGCTCTTTAAGAATAAAGTCAGTCATCAATAGGCCTGTGCCATACTTGTGTTCCTATAGGAACATAGATCATGTGACATTTCTGATATTATTGCATTGTCCAGCATTGCCAGGAGTAGGTTGACCTTTTATTCCAACATAACTCTTTGATGCTATAGGAGATATCTTTTGTCATATAACTGCCCCTCATATTGTTATGGTGTTGTATATTTCTTGTTAATGGGAATTTCCTGTTTTTTTTTTTCAGTTTTCCTGTAGGTTTAATTGACAGACTTTGCAATGTATTTAATGTATTTAATGTCCCCCTATCCATATAATCCTTTATTAAAAACCCAAACATTGTCATTGCTCAGCTTGTATTCTGTTTTGTGTCATTATTGCTCTGTTGTTAAAATAAGATCACTAATACCTCAAAGTATAATGACAGATATTTGACCTTTATGTGGCAAGTCAATCAACAGATCAGGTCAGGTGTTTTATGTCTATGTAGCAGCCATCTCCCTCCCTCTCCTTTGAGTTAAAGAGTGAACTCAGTAACCCGACATGAAATGTGCAGCGCAGTGTAGCAGCACGTATAGAACACCCTCACATGTCACACGTCATCTGCCCCATATATGTATTGTTGTTTTCTCTCCTTATAACACTTGCAGGTCAGGTATTGTGCTGATGTTTACTGGTATATGTTTAGATGTGAAATGGTAGGTTAAAGCATGAGGAGTTGTGGATGCCTCTAAGTCCCATGCATGTTGCAGCTAGGAATGAACGTGCCTGCCCTTCCCCCACTATACATACATGAGGTCACTGAGCCCTCTCCTCAACATCCACACAACCTTCGATGTGTCTTTGAGCTTTTTTAATATAGTCACTTAATTACCCAAACACCTGTTGAGCAAGCCACAACTTTTTACTGTCAAAATGCAATAAACGTAGTTAACCTCTGGTAATAGTAAACCTATGGGAAGGTTTCTGTTTATATATACATAGGCTAACAAGTTTGACAGAAAAAGCTTTCCACCCCCACAGCATTCCTCTGCAGCACATGAACCCAGTGAACCGCCTCTGAGTTCATGGCTGTTGCAGACCACCCCCAACACTTGTATCTTTCCATCTCCCCTCCCCTTCAGATCCAACCCCCACCTGGTTTCTGTATGTTGACATGTTGAGAGTTCAGTATGAGCAACCATATTAAGTTTAAGCCTATGGACGGAGCGTTTGTCAGTGAAGTGGGTCAAAGTGCAGTTTGCTAAATTGGTTTCGATACCGAATATAGACCCTAACTCAACTGGGTTACTTCAGACAGAAAGTGAGTTATGCACTAAAAAATAAAATGAACTATGTTGACTGCTGAGTTAAAATAAGGTGTAAATGATTAGTAAATCTACACTTTAAAATCATTTAAAGTTATTTCAACTTGGAAACAAAAGTTCCCCTTAGAGATGTGAGTTAACTGTCAGGTTAGAAGATAAAATAGTCATTTTATAGGTTTTGAAGATGTAAAAGTTTAATAAACTTAAGGTAAAAAGTTGACATTACTGTTTAATCACACAGGCAAAAAAACCTACACACAGTACAAAGACAACATACACTCACAGGCCACTTTATTAGGTACACCTGTACAACTGGCATTCTGACCCTGTCATGTATGTAGCTGGGGAGGACAAAAATACAGACACCTCTGAATATAAGGTAGTCCAGTGCAGCATGGCAAAACTGAAACATATTGAGTTTCATAAACACAAATGTGTAGGCAGAAATGTTGCATTAAAGTGCATGCAAATGTACAGGTGTACCTAATAAAGTGGTCAGTGAGTGTACAGTAGGCTATGTGGCTGCTCCCACGAAGTGACAAGGGGACAGGCTATACACCAGAGGTAAAACCCAATCACACCATTCCAATATATAGAGAAAAAAGGGGGGGGCTGTAACAACGAAGAGAAGGAAAGCTTACATTAACCTCGTCTGCAGGACAACATGGACTGTAATGTATGCACTATGCTTAATAGATTCATTGAGACTGAAACCAACCCAGCATTGAGAGAATGGTAACAGGTACAAGGCCAAAAGTAACCCAAGAATAAGCCACTAATTGAAAGTTAAAGGTACAACAATGAGGTTTAATGTTGTATTTAAAGGCATCAGCTGAGCCAGTCTGTTTAATGCGAGCAGGGAGGTGTATCTACAGGAAGGGGCATGACAGGAAAAGGCCCTGCATGCTTTCTTTTTTTAAACTCTGGGGACAGACAGGAGTCTTGCATTTTGAGGTCAGAGGTCACAGGAAGGCTGATAAGGTTGAAGTAGGTCAGACAGGTAGAAAAGGGCATGGGCATTTAGAATTTTATGTCATTAGAAACACCTTGAAATGAAAGGAAGCTAAAAGTGGCGTAATGCTGGCAAACTGTCTGGAATTAGTTTAAATTTTGGCCTTAGCATTCTGAACCATCTGATGACTTTTAGTTCTAGTTTTAGTTAATCAACAACTCTGGATGATACAAAAACATTAATAAAGGTCTCTGCATCTGCCATGAGTAGAAAAGAATGAATTTAGATATGTTACAGAGTGTTAGGGTTTAGTCCCCCTCACCAGGAGGGTGAGGGAGAACAGAGGTAGGACTCATTTTGCAGACCCAGGTGCTAGTGGAAAAAAGGTGGTTTAATGGGGGAAAATACAACATAGGACAGAGTAACAAAACAAAACACGTATCACAGTCCATGTACATAAAACAGCAAAGCAGGGCAGAGATGGTGAAGGAGACCAGGACGAACAGGTAAACAGACAAACTGATGGCAGGAATCAGGAGAGCAGGAGGATGAGGACGGACAGGTGAAAAGACAGGCTAACCACGGGGACAGGCAAACAAAACGGATTTCCACAGCACAGGAACTGTCAGCTGGGATAAAACAAGTAGCGTCTGGCTAACCTCATGGACAAAAAACAAACAAAGAGGTCCACAGCACAGGAACTGTCAGCGTGAATGTATAACACAAAAACATATAACCTACATATATCATGAGATCCACAGCACAGGAACTGTCAGCATGGATTACAGAATACATCTCATACATACCACAACTACAGGGCTGTTACAGGGTATGCACGTTACACTTGTTAGGTAAGTAAATGCTCAAGCAATAAGTGTGACCATAAATCATTACAAAAGTGATGTACTATGTGGTCATTTACACAAGCACATGCAGCCATTTCACTGTTGACCCGCTCCCAAGTTTGGCCAGTTTATTTTGTATGAGCACTGATATACAGCTGGTGGAGACCTGCAGCCACCCCTGGCTCCACCATTGACATGATAGTCAGTTATAATGAATATCTAAGTTGTGCAGCGTGTTCTTTTATGAAGAATGATCGAGAGTCAAGTATCAATTTTAAACATCTATTATCACAATTGAATAGATAGATAGATAGAAATACTTTATTAATCCCAATCTGGGAAATTGCATTGTTTCAGTAGCGGTTCACACTCAATATCAAGCACACATACCAATAAATAGAATAGATAACCCACTAAAATATAAAACAAATAAAAATACATTAAAAGTTAAAAACAAAAACCAACACAATTGAGTACATATACATAATCACATGATGAATCAAACATATGCAAATCTATACAAAAGGTGATTCAGTATACAATTACTGTCAATCCAGGAATCATCTAATGCTCAAAGATGATGTATTGTACAAATTAATGGAATAAGGCAGGAAAGATTTCCTATAACGTGCTTTACAGCAACGAAGCTGTCTAAATCTTTTAGAGAAGGAGCTCCGCTGTCCATCAAGCACAAATCGGAGAGGATGGTCAGAGTTATCCATAATTGATAACAGCTTGTTTAGTGTCCTCCTCTCCATCACTGCCTCAAATGATCCCTGTCCCCAGCCAATGACAGAGCCAGCCCTCCTAATTAGCCTATT